CTACCTGGACCAGCCAAACAGTGGGGGAACGGCACAAGCCGCGGCCATGACCCAGGAGAAGGCGACGCCCATGATGGCATGGTTCTCCCCGAAGCGGAAGTTGCTCATGGGCTTGCAGACCACTACATATCTTTCAATAGCCAGGACGACCAATGACCAGAGAGCAACTTCACCTGCAGCAGGGAGAGAGAGGGATGGGGACACAGGGACTTTGAGCAACAGGAGAAAAATGTGCTGATGCCAGCAAAAGGCCTCCTTGGAACTGTTGTTCCCGAGGAAGACCCTTGGCAGCAGGTAGATCTCCACCAAGGGTTCGGAAAGAGAAATTAACAAAGGCCAAGTACAGATGCAGTAGGAAGGCGTAAGACACCTCCTCACTGCGCTGCTGACCCACAGTACCCACTCTGCTGCCTTTTTCTGAGATCCACGGCTGAATCCTAGCACTCATCCCGGACAGCACCTGCACCTACAAGCCTATGGTCCAACTCTGAGATGCAGCGAGTGCCCATCATCCCAGAATTTCCCCTCACTACCCACAGCTTCCCAGGAAACTTGTGCCACACCGACCAAACCAGTAACACAGATGCCTGTGGCTGAAGGCTGAGCTGAAGGGAGGAGGGCTTTTTTAGATGCATGATTTTTGTTTAACATCTGTTTCGGTCAAAGCCTGGCTGGCACGGGGAGGAGAGCCAGCTTTGCTAGCCTGTGCCACCATGCACCGCACCAGAGCCAACGACAGGCTCAGTCCCACGAAACAGGATGAACAAATTTGTCATCTCTCAAGTCAGAAAGCAAGCCAAAAAGATGTGCAAATCCAACAACTGCAAAATCTGCTACTGGCTGTTTTTCATTGCTGCACTGTTGTTCTCAGGATACTGAGCAGGTGGCTACTAAAATAAGGGTAAAAAAAAAAAAAAGTGTCATTTATCACTTTCTTCACCTCCCACCCTGAACCACTGCAACTGCCTTGGCCCACATCAGCAGCAGACCAAGGACCTTCCAGATTCCAAGATCATCTGGGCATCCTCCCTCCCCTTCCTAAAATCTGGGGTGATTCCTGGCAGAAGATTTTTGAATATTTGGAAAACTCACCGCCCAGTGTAGCACAGAAGCCTTCGACGTAGCACCCTGTTACTCCAAAGACAAAGTACCCATTCATTGAAGTGTACAAGGTGGTCGTGAAACCACCCAAGACCATGAAGAGGTCAGCGACCGCCAGGTTCAGAAGGATGTAGTTTAGAGGCGTCCGGAGCTTCTTGTGCTCGATGGTGACATACAGCGTGAGGAAGTTGATAGGGAAGCCGAGCACGATCAGCATGAACATGTAGGCAGCCAGCGCTGAGTACTTCCAGGGCTCAGCCAGGTAGTACTGGGGGTACTCGAAGGGGCTCCGCACCACCCCAGTCTTGTTGGACATGGGAATGTAGAAATCTTGGCCTTCCGTCCCGTTCATGGTTGCGGTTCGTGAGGTCCCTTCTGCTCGTACTCAAAGGTGGTTTTTGAGTGCAAGGGGATCGCCTCTGAAATGGGGATCCCGCCACCTCTCAGCCTTCGCTGTCACCCCAAGGAGAAGTGGCTACGCTCACCTCTGCAGGGCACCCCTTATAAAGTGCCCCCTGGGGTAAGCTCCAGGCATTGGTGTCAGCGCGATTAGGGCTTAGAGAATTATTAATCATAATCATCCAGGGGTAATTGGCTTTCCTGGGAGGTATTAAGGTGACACCTGTTTCTAGCCCGCACTGTCATTGTTGGAGACCACGGCTCATGGTCATATATAAAGAAGTGGCTCTGCGCCACACCTTCCATTTGGGGGGACCCAAACCAGACAGCAGTTCCACTCGCACAACCTTGCTCCTCAGCATGTCTGTGCTCCCCAGGGAGCAAGGGTTTGGGGTGGGTCCTGCACCCACAGCAGTCTTTGTACCCTATGATCCAGAGCTGGACATCCACGGCTCATGCTGCCATCGCCCAGGGGGGAGACATTCGCTCCCCCTGCAAGACCCTCAGCCCCCTCCCCACAGATGCTGAGGGATGCGCTGCCCACCCGCATGAAATGCCTCAGTTTCCCCACAGAGAGGTGCTGGGAATGGGACGCATCACCACCAGGCTGGTGGCGGAGGATGCGGGGCAAGACAAGGTGCACAAGGACCCTTCTCTTGGCCACACTTTCTGAAGGCTCCCACAAACCTCACTCACCACAAACAGAAGCTCCACTCTGTCCCCCGCTAACAGGAGGGAAGTCTGTGCTTCAGAACCCCATGACCATGGCTTTGGTGGCATGGTCCATCAGTGATAGAAGGGTGTCCCAGGTCTGTTCCTACAAAGGCAAAGCAGGTCCATGACACCAGCTAGTACCTGCTGGAGAGCCATCTCCTCAACTGCCATTCCCTGTGGGAGGCTGCAGATGGCTGCTCTTGGGCAGCACAAGCATCACCAACTCTTCTTCTGCACGGTCTCAGCCACCACTTTTTCTGCTACAGGATTTGGCTGGGGAGGTTGGAACACCACAGTGAAACACCGATCCCAGTGGCAGGTTTCCAGCTGTACCATCTCCTCTATGCCTGGCTTTGTATGTGGTTTGGGTCATGACAAGTTCATTGGTAACACTTAATAAAAAACCTAGTCCAGCTGTCCTGGACAGGTATCATTCTGCACTGGTACTGAGAAGGCTGCTGGACAAGGGCACCGAAGGGACGTTCTGAGCAGAAGCCAACACTTGACTTCATGTGCTGGCTGGCTGACAGACACTTTCAGTCTCCCTGAAACCTTGCAGAATCATCAAATTCCACAGGGGAAGCTGTCGTCGTCAGAGCCTCCCATGTTCTCCACGTCTCTCTGCCTCCTCGCTTGATGCACTCAATTGTGCCTGAAACATTCTTTGTGCCAGCCAGCAATGAGTGAGACATTATCTTCTCTTTATTTTCCACAGGCAATGGGACAACACATGCAGCAGAGCAAGCACAATGAAGTCAGCTGCAGAGGATCTCTCTTCTGGAGAAGGTGGTTCCTTACAGTTCACACCATCATGATTCACCTTTTAAGCTCCAAAGCTATTTTCCCCATCTCTTCCCTTTTTTTTCACCCACCTTTTATCACCTTTCTCATTAGCAGTTGCTAACATTCCAGCTGGTTCCTCCACAGAGGCTAGGCAAGGACTGTCTGCTGTGCCCCTTGGTAGGGGACCGAGGCTGGAGGGGATCTGAGCACCTCCCCTTGCTGTTTTGGTGGGGCTGAGCTCAGTGTTCCTTGAAGGGGAGCAGAGTGGGTAACCGTGAGTGCCTCATCCAGCACAAGAGGATGTGCCAGAGCTGCTGGAGCTCACAGGTGTGAGGTGGGCTGAAGCTCACATCCTCTTGGCCTTAAACTTCTTTCAGTCCTGGCCTAGATGTTACCAGTGTTCCCTGTGGGTTAGTTTAGCACATGCAAGAAGTTTAAAGGCAAAAAGCACAAAGCTCTGTACTCTCTTTAGAGACTGAGCTGGGAAACCTTCACTCGAAGTGGGAAAGGTCTAAGGGAGCTGAAGTGCTGGCACCCTGGACCAAGGAAGACCTGGCTTGCTGTAACCAAAGGCAGGCCAGGATCACTCTCAACAGTCCCAAAGTTCTTCCTGCACATTAACCACATCCTCATACACGCTCCGCTCATCCTAAGTCTCTCTCAATTAACTTTTCACACGTGTTGCCAAGGCCAGAGCAGTGCCACTATCTAATTGCAAAGGCAGCTCTTCATACTTGTACCTGGGCATACAAGAAGGATTAAAGGTTTATCTTCCCAATACACAAATATGCCACCTTAAGCTCTGATGGAATAAGCCACTGCTGAGGTTAGCAGCTGCTGCTCACAGCTTAGGGCCTGGCGTGCGTCACCACTGGAGCACAGCAGTGGGACAGGCAAGCAGGA